GGTCCAGGCCACGCCGGCGTTGCCCGTCTCGTCTGCACAGCGGGGGGAGCGCGACCCTGTCCCAGGCCCCGTCCCCATCACCGTCCCTGTCCCTGTCCCAGGCACGCCCTCTCATTCCGGTGGGCGTGTCCCGCGTGCGGAAGGGGGGACGCCCACGACCCCCTCAAGGACCGTCTGTCGGGTCGGGAGTGGGGACGGGGGGTTTCGTGCGACCCACCTCGCCCACCGCCGAAGTGCACGGCTGCCCCCGGTTCACCTCCGCGGCGTCGTCTCGACCGGTTCGTCGGCCACCTCCGCGCGGGTGGTCCGGGGCGGCGCCCCGCCGGAGGAGCGAAGCGCCTCGGGGAATCCTTTCACCGGTGAGTCCTCCAGAAGTTAGTCATGGGGGAAACCAAAGGAGAAAATGAGGTCCAAATGCGACCCACCCTTTTGTGTTGTTGCCGCTCCTCCTTTTTTTTCATCTCTCATTCTTCTTTGCTTTAGTTTGCTTGCGTTCTTTGGTGATTGCTTTTCGTTTGAAAATTAAGGTGCGTTTCACGTGGGTGTTAACCCAGCTACTTTGTATTCTACAGAAATGGATTAGTTGAAGGCATTTTGTCGTCGTTGCTATTTTGTTTGCATGTGAATTGAAAAATGAGATCTATGTGATATACTTCGCAATGGTTTTTTTTCCTCTTTTTGTGCCTTTAGTGTTTGCGTTGTCGCATGAGTGGAAAGGGTTAAAAGGTGTACTTCCTGGGACCCATGATGAAAGGATATGATCACACATGTAGAGCGAAAAGCTCGACTTAGTGGGCCCAGTCTCATACTTTTTATTCACGCGTGTTTTTTGTGTAAAGTTTCAACAAATCCATTGATCTCAGGCAAAATCGCCGATGATCTTCTCGGATGAGCAACTGTAGTGTAGACTAAAACACGATGACTGCACGTGTTGCTTTTTTTGATCCTCCTCCTAGAATAGTTGCATGTGCTATTGATTTTTTTAAAGGTCAAGTGTAGGGTCAATTCATCGTATACAGAAGCGTGTCTAATGGGCCTATATTCCCAGGGTTGCTTCTGATATTTCTGCTAAAGATTATATATATTTATACATATACATATATAATCCGGTTTGTTTGGAGGAGATAATAAATCGGGGTAGAAAAGAAAATCAAACCTATTTCCGCTGTGTTGGTGGGTAAGTGCTAACTTTAGACTCATTAGTGGATGTCAGGTCGGCCACAGATGCATCCCGACAACTCAATAAAGGGACCAATCGCAGAGGCTCGAGGCAGTCATACAACATCCCATGGAAATACTGGAAAGCCACAGCGGAAGTTGGACAAATATGCAAATCAGTCCCAAGAATATGGGAAAGACATCGAGGAGGTGAACACCAGTCCCAGCTCCGATTTAGAAAGGAAAGATGGAAAGTTGAGCAGCATGAAAAACAGTCCAACACCCCAAGACGCCTACGCAGGATCGAATGTTGATGCCATTACCGAGGGCACTAGCCCCAAACTACAAAGCTATTCGAAAGAATACCTTATTCGGCGTGTGGTGATTCTCGAGCATGAGCTGAAGAAGCAAAATTCAGCGTGTGCTCACCTGCTACAGCAGTGCCGCGCCCTTTCCCCGCTCAGGAAAGAGAATGAGGCCCAGAAGGAAATGATCGTGAGTCAACAAAGGCAAATCGAGCTCCTTCAGGCCGAAAAAGCCTCCTCATCGGAACAGATTCGGTTGCTCAGAAAAGAAATATCCGACAAAGAGCATCAAGAGCGCGTGGATCGTGTCAGGAATGTCATCGGTAAGGAACCCCCGCGGAACGCGAGCGATATAGGTGCGGGCTCGGGAAGGCCTCGGGGTGCGTTGCCTGGTGGAACCGTCGTTAATACGCGAATGGGGCCGCAAATCGTGTACGATAGCTCCAGCATATCCTCGGTCGGCTTCTCCAGGGACGTGGCGATCCCGCTCGACTTTCTCGGCGGCCCCGACGTCCAAAGTCAACTTCAGCAGCGCGGCAGCGGTGCCCGATCTAAAGGTTTGGCAGGTCCTCAGAATGCTGACCGCTCCGAGGAAGCAGGGCTGCATCAAGTCTTACAAATTGCAAAAGATGAAGCTAAATTAAGTCAAAAGTATCGTGAGATGGAAAGGCGTGAGGAGCAGGAGCTTCAAGCTCGTCTGGAGGCTCTCAGATTGAAGAAGTAACTAAATGACGAAATCAAGATGTCTTTTCTAATTTATTTTGGTTGCCATTATTATCCATATTATCATCATAACCTTGTAGTGGCTATACATGAAGGCTAAGTTCTCTCCCCTAGACGCCATATATATTACAGTGTTCAATGTGTATGTATTTTGATCTCTTATTCTCGCTTTAAAACAAACCTTTATTTCTTAACCCATAGAAATAAGGGAAGTATTCAATTAAATAGACCTTTCAGGCAAATAAAAAAAGGAAAAGAGATTACACCAAATACTTTTAAGTGAGTAAGCGAATACATATCACATTAAGAGGATCTAAGCATTCTTTGATATACAAAGGGGAGGGAGATAACAAAAGTTTTGAGAACAAAAATCACCCAACAACAACCCTTTGAATTTGGAGTCAAGGATTCCTTGAACATACCTTGTTTTTCTTGACTTTCATTTCTGCTCCCATAGTCACTACTATTACAGGAGAGGCTACAGCTTTGACACAGTAATTCTCTTTTTCAGAGTAAAACGAAAAAAAATGCAGACAACCAATCGGGAAGATCATTCTGAACAGCAGAAGCTAGAGGGAGATCACTCAATGCAGACTTTGAATCACCACGTCTCTGGAGGAGGTGCTTCCCCGAACATCGGGCATAGGTCGGCCATGATCGGCAGCGTCAGCGTACAACGACCCCAGCACACACAGTACGCCATAGGGATGGGGAACCCCCAACAGGGCATCGTCGCTAGCGTTACTCCTCTTCAGCAGCACCTACAGGGAGCGAACATGTACACGCCTGCAGTCAACCGTTTCACTCCGATGGATTTCGAGCTCTACCTTAACCGCAACCTTGATCCGACGCCGGAGATGCGTCGTTCGCAGGAGTACTACTATTGGTTCCACAGCAAGGTCCCACGCGACCCTCGTGCGCCGCCGCCGCTCCCGTCGATTGGCACCCAAGAAGGGTTTGAGGTGCTCGAAACGGACTGGGATAGCACACCGCCGCCGAATCAGATGCGCGTCGTCCCCAACACCGCGCTGGCCGCCGGAGCGGGCGGGGCGCATATCCAAACGGTAGCCGGCCCCCAGCAATCCGCACCCCAGCACCCTACCGGCACCGGCAGCCTCAAGATGGGCGTCCGCCTCGAGCTAAACGAGCAAACCCTCAAGGAGACGCATGAGGACAAGTCCGTGATGAACCCATACGCACTCGCTCTCATCAACGACGAGAACAACATGATCAGCCCTAGCACGCAGTTCTTCGCGGCCTACGCGCCGACCCCGCTCGCGATGGCACCGCCAAGCACCCTCCGCGCCTACGCCCATGGCAAGCTCCCACTACCAAACACCACCGTCCCCCGCTCCCAACAACAGCAACACCAGCAGCAGCAGCAGCAACAACAACAACAACAACAGCAGCAGCAGCAACAGCAACAGCAACAACAGTCGTCACAACAACTGTCACAGCAACCGCAGCAGCCCTCTTCTGGGACAGGCCGTGGGGTGAACTCCAACGGTGTCACGGGCGGCTACGAGGAACTGGGAGTGAACAGCGCGGGCCACCCCCGTCCCGCCCCGCGCAGCATCGCGGTCCAGCAATACTACACTCAGGAACCGATGAACGCGTATGGCGGGTATGGGCTGCAGCAGATGCCTCAGCACCCGACCGGCGGCGTCTTCTACGACGCGGGAGCGGGGAACCCGTACATGTACACGATGGATCGCGGGATGGACGCCGTCTTTAACGGGATGGGCGTCCATGGCGCGAACAAGGGGATGATGGTGATGATGCAAGGTGGGGGAGGAGCGGGGGTGGCGAACCACGACGCGGTCCCCCACCACGGCGGGGAGGGTAACCACCACCACACGGGAGGAAATCGACGGGGAGGCGGCGCGCGTGGGGGAGGAATGCGCGGCAACAACTCCCGCGGGCACGGTGATAACGCCAACGCTCAGGCGAACAGTGGGAATGGCGGCAGTAACGGGCAACGGTATCAGAACTGCTCGGAGCTCCTGCGCCGCTTCCGCTCCGACACGAGCATGAAGAGCTTTGGGCACTGGCGCCTCAGCGATATCCAAGGCTACGCCGTGGAGTTCGCGAAGGATCAGGAAGGCAGCCGGTTCATCCAGGGCGCGGTGGATTCAGCCTCACCGGCCGAACTCGACGTGCTTTTCCATGAGATCTTTGATAACCCGCAGGATTTGGTCACAGATATCTTTGGGAACTACGTCCTCCAGAAGATGCTCGAAAAGGGTAGCCCTCAGCAACTCTTCTTCGCCGCGAATCGCCTCAGTGGGCATGTGGTGAAGCTGACACTGCAAACCTACGGCTGCCGCGTTATCCAGAAGTGCATCGAGGTGATGCCTGACGAAGGCCTTCAGGTGATCCTATCTGAGCTTGAGGGCAACGTCGCGAAGTGTATCCAAGATCAGAACGGCAACCACGTCGTACAAAAGTGCGTGGAGGTGATCCCGCAGCGCTGTGGCTTCATCATCTCTGCCTTCGCTGGCCGCGTAATGGAGCTAGCGACGCACGCCTACGGCTGCCGTGTCATTCAGTGCATCATGGAGCACTGCCCAGATCAGGAGGATATCATCTTCAATGAGCTGCTGAGCGGTGTAGAGGCCCTCGCGCAGGATCAGTACGGGAACTACGTGATTCAGCATCTCCTGCAACACGCTGAAGACGAAACGAAGGTGGAGCGAATCTACAACGCCCTCAAGCCGAAGTTCTTCGTCCTGAGCAAGCAAAAATTCGCGTCAAACGTGATGGAGAAGCTCTACGCGCGGTCTAAACCGGCGTTCCGGATGGATTTAGTCGATTTGATGTGCTCAGACGACCCCGCCATCATCGGGACGAACGTGCAGATGGTGGAGGTCGTGAAGTTTACGCGTTCCGACACCGTCACCGTGGCGTCGGCAAATGCCTTGGATAGTAGCACAACGAACAATAACTGGAATGTAACGAATAAAACTCACAACCCACGCGAATCGCAGAAAGAAAGGAACCGAGAGCAAAAAGATGCAGCCATAGGTGTAATCGAGGATTTACAGACCGCCGGATTCAGTCGGCCGAGTGTGCTTTGCCTGATGATGAACGACCAATATGCCAACTACGTCGTTCAGCGGGTGCTGGACGCATCGGACGTCGAGCAGTTCACAAGGCTGGTGAACAACATTGAGCGATATATTCTACCGATTCGCACGTATAACTACGGTCGACCCATTGTTCAGCGCCTTGCACGGCGAAACCTCGTAAAGACCCCAGGCGATGAAGCCGAATCGAGCTAATTTCCGAAAATAGTACGTAGAGGGGGAAAGGGGGGAGAACAATGTAGAACAATAATAGTATTTCTTTGGCGAAGGAATAAGGAAAGACTCGTGGGGATATACAAAATCAAGGAAAGCGCTTTTCCCTTGGTCTATGAATAAGATTTTGTTTGCTTACTTGGTGCAAAGTGGCGGCGCATATAAAGCCCAAATGAAGTTTCACTATTGCCATCCTCGAAAGCCACGTGATCAGATGAATTAGACAAATGTTCTACATACAAACGAGAACTAATGCCAACACCGCTTCCATCCCTTAATTGATTGTTTCATAGGTTACCGAAACGCCTCAGTTGACAATAGAATGAAATAAACAATGAGGGGATAGTAGAGCGAGCAGATTCGATGTTAGGTCCGCTGAGCGATAATGTGTATTTGTTTTTTATATCTCAAAGCAAAGAGAATATTATTTATATATATATATATATATATAAATGAGCAAAAAAAAAGTGAAATTTGAACTATTGAACTTGTGGCCCTTGTAAAGTACATATGAACAAGATGGCTAAAATTAACGAGGGCGGCTCCTTTATTTTCTTGGTGATTGAAACACTTTTATGAAAACCCCGATAATAAAAATAGTGAACTCGGTAATGTGCATTTACTTATTTACATTTTTCCATTTCTAGATGAGAAAATTCTGAGGTTGAAAGCACTGGTAAAAATTTTTTCTATTATGATTTATACTTTTTATTACATTTTTATGCCCTCTTTTTTCTTTAATTGTCTGTTGAAGATGTTAACTAAAGTGTTAGTCGTGATGTAAAAATTAAAGAAATCGCTCGTGGTAATATATATATTTTTGGTATATGAGTTTGATATTTATTAGAAAGAAAATTAAGCAGGTACTTTGTTCAGAGGAGACAACCCAAGTGGATTATTTTTATATTAAAATTTATATACCTGATAAGGGAGACTCAGGAAGAATATGGGTCAGAAAAGGTAAAGCAAAAGGTATATCCATGATAAATTCATTGTTTGGAAGAAATTTTCAATATATAGTCCTTTCTTCTGCTGCATATCCACCCTCCCTCTTCAAAGTTCGATTCTCTTTCGTTACCTTTATTCCTGATCCTAGAAGATCGGTTCATGGTGTGCGGAAAAATACGAAACAAGTGGAGGATAATAATATGGTTATTGATTGAGATCAATACGTGTAATTATGTATTGATATATACGAAATTGCAGCAACATAACAAAAGTAGAGGAAGTTTATCTTCCCCCTTGATGCGGTCTTTTTTTTTAGAATGTACTGAGCGTGATTAGGTTAGAACGGAGAGAAATGGGCATAGTGAATTTTAGCGTCCAAAGCATCCCTGGATCTTAACCAGAGGGAAAGGTGAAAAAGCAATTGCATAAATAAATATCCACCTGTCCTAGCTCAGCTGTTAGAATCTGCGTTTACCCTGTTTGTACAAACATAGGACTTCTGCTTAATGTAAATCAGAACACCAAGGAGGTGGAAAGAAAGGGGGAAACTAAGAATATGACAGCGAACCATTGTGTTTGTTTTCTGTTTAAAACAACACGTAGTGGCTACTGAATGGATAACTGTGCATGTTTTTTCTGCCTTTTAGATCTTATATTTATTCATGTGTCCATGTCCTAATACCTTGTGGGGGAAAAAAAGCTCCTAACTCATTCTCACGCATTGATCTTGGATTATTTTTTGTACATTATGCTTGAACTGTCAGGCCTTCGAAGGTGGAACTGATAATTTTAAGATCTTTGCTGAATTCTTTTCCTTTTGAGTAGCCTGATGGTTTTTCCTTCCTATGTCACAGGACTTCTTCTTCTAAGTTATTTCCCGTACACTGCATCAATGTATGTTACCACAGGGTTCTACTTATTTCCTGCAGTGGTGATAATTTACTTTATGTATAGTTGTACATAATAGCGTCTGGGTTTCTATATATATTTATATATATAGATAAATTAATATTTCGACTATAAATGGATGTTTAAATTTGAAACGTTTGGTTTGTTTAGTCTTTTCTTATGACGATGGTCCCCGTTTAACCCTTAACTCCAGTGGGTAGAAGCAATAATGTTAATTGACAGTAAATTGTGCAACGAACACTCCATAAAGGAACTAAAAGAAAAAATTTTGTATTTGCATCAAAGTCCTTAGTGTAAAAAACACTTAATACCATATCTTTTCTTCTTTTATGTGTGTGTGTGAGTGTGTGTGTGTGTGTGTGTGTGTGTGTGTGTGTGTGTGTGTGTGTGTGTGTGTGTGTGTGTGTGTATATAGGCAAAGTGTGATTGGTATCTTACTTTCTTCTCTTAAAAAAGGGGAAGAAGAGAGTGGAGTGTGATGTGACGCAATATACAGGATTCCTGGTCTCATTTTCCTCCGTATACCAAAACATAAGCTTCATAAAAAAATAAATCCAAGTGCTTCCAGAAAGAAGGCTGGTGAATCAAGTAAATAAAGTAATTCATATATAATTTGGAGAAAGCCAAATCCACTTACCTGTAACATACCAAAAATTTTTAGCCTGACTATTGCACTTTTTCACTTCGTCCCTCTTTAGACTTCCTCACCCCCGCTTTTTTTTACGAAGAATTAATGAAGATTGTTTGCTTTAACAGATGTAGCATCGTGTGGGGGGTGTAAACAAAAAGATATTAACCCAGTGTAATGAGAAAACTAAGTCTATAAATGGATATGTATATATAAATAAAGGGGATGGGACAAAAATGTATCGTGCAAGCGTTCGACTTAGTTAATAATTTAATCGTGCATCTTCTAGGAAATCCTTTATTTTGGCATATTTTTATATTTAAGTGTACGATGATAGAATCGTTAAATCAACATCTTCGATGGTTTTTTTTCTAACATTTTATGTATTTTGAGTTTGAATATTTGTTGGGCTTTATAAATATGCTTGCTTATTACATTGTTTTTTTGGAGTAAAGGTGGTTGGTTATTGAGCAGCATAAATATCTGCAGAGTACAAGGTCTTCAGGTAAAATCTTTTGACTCAAGTAGAATGCCTGTGTTTCTTAAAGGAAATCTGTCAGTAAACATCCTTATCATCGCCTTTTTCCCTCCCTTCTTCATTTTTTTTCTTCCGATCGGTTACCTCGATCTCCCACATCCTAGGTTAGCTAGATAGGGGATCTGACCATTTGAACGCGACCACTTCCGTATCCTTCGAAATCCATCCCATCGAGCTCTCTCGAGCCCAACAACGCACACACCAAAAAAAAAAGGAAAAGAAAACAGCACAAGTGAAAGCGGGGAGTCAATCCAATGTTATCGCGTCGTTGTCTTCCGCTGCTTTCGGCGATGCAGGGGCGTTGTGGGAGCGGGGGGTGGGCGTCGCGCACTCCCCTCTCCGTCTCCCGGCGGCGCTACGCCGGAGAGGCGTTCACGGCGAACCTCGTCGCCCATACCACCTCCCTCTCCGCCTGCACGTCACTCTCGACGATGCTCTACAGCCCGCTAGGGACCGCCATGCTAGTTTTGCTCGCCTACAACGTCGTCGTCGTCGGAGGGAAGCACGCCTTCTACCTGCTCGAGCTCACCGCGAAGGATTACGTGCAGGATCCGCAGCTCTACGTGATCGTCCGATATGGCGTCCTCTTGTGCATTCTGCTTGGGATGGAGGTGATTTTTGTGGAGGTTTAGCGGTTTGGTTTGGGAAAGTAATTCGCTTTTCAGGGGAAATAGAGGGTGAAGAAATTTTAAAAAAGAACCTAAACTCGATATATATATATCCATATTTATAGCAAACTTTATCGTCATTTAGTCATATTCCACCACCTAAGGTGTTTAGCAGAAGAAGAAAGAGTCGTCATTTACGGTTAGGAGGTGTCGAAAAGGCGGAGCTCAGTAGGAGTATTATCACAGTAAAACTTTCATTTATTTTTAGCATGTTTTTCTTGTTTTTCCCTCTTTGCTTGCTCGACTTGTTACCATTTATTATTGAAACGTACTTGTAGAACCCATACGAAGACGGCAAATTCGGTCTTGCCAAATTTATCATCGCATACGTTTGCATGTATATACATATATGAGTGGATATCGTTGGTACTACATTTATTTGACATCCCTTCTCATCATTCTCCTCTCAATTTCTTGGAAAAGAAAAGTTCAAAAAAGGAGTAAATTAAGTACGAAAGCCCCTTTGCCAGAGTGTATCCACATATAACTATATCATTCGGCATATACACCCAATTAATTCTCTGAAACTAATATGAAAAACGACTCCTACGACAATGGAGGCTCCGATGAGGAAGAGGAATTTGAAAAACAGTCAGAACAATCAGAGGAATTAAGCGGCAACGACGAAGATGGAAGCAGAGAATTGAGCAATCAAGACAGCAGCAGGAAGGAAAGTGATGAATACAACCTCCTGGAGGAATCCAAAAAAATTGTTGAGGATTTCTTTTCCCTCGCTCAGTCCTCCCTCCCGCCGAGAAAAGAAGACGTGGAGGAGCTGAAGATGCTCCTTCCCGGGCACGGCACGGAAAAACAAACGGTGGTGGTTCGGCTCTCGAAACCACGCGACTGCGGCGCCGAGACGTTTGAAAAGCGCTATAAAGAACAGATGCGCCGAACCATACGAAGTTTCAGGCTCCAAGAACTCAAAGCAAGGGGCGACAAGGATGCCATCATAAAGTTCTTGAAGGCGGAGATGGTGGTTCGCGGCGAAGGCGAGAATCTGTTGTCGGGCGAGGCCGAGGAGGACGGCGAGGGGGTTGATACCCCGGGCGGAGGCCGCGCAGACGCCTTGTTCGATCACGCCAAGAGTGGAGACAATGAAAACGACACGGAGGAGGAGGACGAGCCTCGCGTGCGCCGCACCCCGTCCAATGGCATCCCAGGCACCTCAGGCTATTCGTTTCCGTATTGGCTTCCTCATCTACTGTCGAACGACTTATTTTACCTTGAATTGGCCTGCGAGACGATGTTTGGATGGGCCTTACCCCCTTCCACGCCGACGGTGTTGAACACCGAGCCCAGGCCATGGATCGATAGCAAAAATAACCCGTCCTCGACGCCGATTCTTCTGGTGAGGGGGAAGAAATCATCGCCGGAGACGGATACGTCACTCCATAACCGAGTCTCCTTCATCCACACCAACTCCGAGATGCAAGGTCGAAACGCGGAGGAAGAGGCAGAAAATATCGACGAGGATGAAGAGGAGTTCGTCGAAGAGCTCGAAGAAGGAGAAGTTAAGGAAGACAATGAAACGCAGAAGGATGAAGGTGAAGGTGGGGAGGGGTACGAGTCACCCTTTTTATCACCGAGAGCTTATCGGAAAACGATGAAAATGAATTCCCAGAAGGTGGATAATCTGGAGCAGACGAACCCTCCTACGGAAAAGGAGCCTGAGAAGGACCCCACCTCCGTGGTTCCCTTATCATCTAGTCAACGTCAGGCCTTCCTCTCACCTAGTAGCCTGGGCATGACGCAGAATAAAGCGAAAACCACCACACAAACATCCGCCGGCGCTCCAGCCTCTCCGGAGGTGGTTGCCTTTCCTGACGTCAACTATAAGTTATACGTGGTGTGGGAAGAGAACAACGAAGAGTGGCAGTTGTTGGATGTCCACCCCCTGATCGTGGAGCACCGTGCGCAACAAAAGCTTCTACGGAAAAGCCAAGATCTCAAGAGGAAGAAATTGAACGACGAGGAGGAGGAGGAGGAGGAGGAGGAGGAGGAGAAGTCCGATGACGAAGAAGTGGGGAGCGCGGAAGAATCCGAGGAAACAAATTCAGGCGAGGACGAGAGCAGGGAGGAGGAGCAGGAAAGCGAGGATGAGGAGGACGACGTCCCGTCGTTTGATTACGAATCCGTGATTGTGCTAGACGCGTTGATGCTGGCCGCCCTCCGGGCCCCTTCGTTCCTTAAAACCTGCTTTCTCCAAAACCTCCAGCCGAAGGGGGGGACTCCTGCCGTCTCGCTCGAGTGCATTGAGCATTGGCTGGTGACCGACGAGGAGGCCGGCTTTCCGATGCTCACCGCGATCTACACCGGCCTCATGAATGCGCGGCTGCAGCACAGCGTCACCCCACTCCCTTATGAACCCCCTGCGCTGCAGTTTGATTTCAACTATTTCTTCCAAGAAGGGGTGATCTTTCAGGTCGAAAAGACCACCACCGAGGGGGAAGTGGTGCCGTGCCGTCGTTTGCTGCCGGGAAGCTCCACTTTGATGCTCAAACAGCTCGATAGCCTCACCAACGCCCGAAGTAAGGTGGCGATGGATAGCATGCGCGCGTTGCTGAGCGCGAACGTCGTGCCGTCGCGGCCGATCTCGCTAAATGTGCTCACCTCCCCTGAAAGTTTGGAACTCGCGCTTTGGCTGCTTGCCTGCATCTCAGAGCGGCTGCTGTATGTTTGGGGTGAGCAGGCAAAAACGCAGAAATACCAGTCGGCAAGGCGGTCCGACGAAGCCTCGCGAACTCAGGAAAGTAAGGCCGCTAGTGAGTTCGACGAAGATGATGACGAGGAGGATGAGGATGAAGAGGATGGGGAAGAAGGCGCGGAGCGTTATCGCCCGCGTTTGAAAAAATTAGAACGCGCCGAGGAGGCATGGCGGCGACAGATGCTGCAGAAGATTCGGCAGCTATGGCATAACGCCGATGCGGGATTTCGTTCAAACAGGGAAACCCGCAACACTTCCCGAGAGGGCCTCACGTTTCCCCCCGCGCTGCTCCCTGGGCCCCTTCTCTTTTCAGCGTTGGTAGAAATACGTTGTCGGATGAAGCGGGAGCGGCTCGGCCGCAAACCCCTCTCCTACCCCATCAACGCGGATATGGAAAAGTTCATGGAGGGCGCGAATCTCGAGGATGGCTTCGTGGACCCCCTCGTAACCTCGGGTTTCCACCCTCATATTGACCTCAGTTTGGTGTCGAATGAAGCCCCCTACGAGGATGATCCGCAGCTTGAGATGACGGGCATCTTCGCGGAGTCCAAGACGCAGTCCAAGCACATTCTATCTCCACGCAAACCGCACCCCGTCGGCGGCACGCAGCCGCCACCAAACGAAGGCAGCTCCAGCCCCATAAACCCTCCCCATCCTTTGATCACGCAACGATATCAAAAAATTTACCAGAGTGATCTGGTGCTTCTCCTCCTGGCGTGCACGGAGACACCGATGCCGCGGGATATCAGCTTGTTGTATCCGCCAGGAACCGACGACGCAATGGACAGCCCGAAGGAACGGGCGGCAGGAATAACAAGCACTCACGACGGCGCGCTGTCGGTGGATACGCCGATGTCGACGGCGAGCACGAAGACCCTCGTTAAACGCACATCGGCGTCGAAAGGACAAAATATCGAGAGCAGGGAGAGTTTGACATCCAGCAAGTGCATGCCTACACCGATGTCGAACTCGCTAGCACAGAGCACGGTTTCCGCGGTCCCTGGAGTACTTACCTACAACCTCATTTACTTTAATTCGCTTCTCCAGGCGAAGATCGCGAAGCAGCAGAACTCCCCAGGTTCCTCTCTGCCACTAACCAAGGCGCGCTCTGGTATGTGGCGTTTGCTATTTCTCCACCTCCCGTGCTTTCTCAATATGAAGATGATTCAGGATCTGTGCGATGCCGCCCCGCTCTACGAACTTTTCGGCGTGAATGACCGTTGCCCGTTACATGAGCTCGTCTACTACTGGGCGTTGGAAGTATGTAAAACCTTCTCGAGAGGGCATTCCACTGGGGAGCGGTCCGTCGCGTTAATCCACGCTGTGGATATCTTTGTCAACGCCTTCTGTCATGAGTTGTATCACCGTCTGAAGAGTGGGTTGTATCCGAAGAACATCCTTTCCATCATCCGGAAGTGCAGCAGCTCTACCGGGGGAATGTTGTCCAAGGTTCAGGATCGAATGGATGGACTGCAGCGTGTCCTCTCACACCTCACTGGTATTCGTTTTAGAAGCGCCAAGGGGGTGGATGTGAATTACGTCGATTTCTCTCTTCTCATCCAGCAGCAGAACCTGCAGTATCGCGTGGATTGTTCAAAACCTGGTTCGACGCATGAGAGGAGCGTGGAATCCGCATCCGAACCCCCCGCCGCGAGCATCGTGGAGCCACCAACGCAGAATGCTTTGCAGAAATTAGCGGGGATGGAACAAAGCACCGACAGCGAGCTGCTCATGAAGATGATAGAAACAACCTTAGTGGTGGCGAGCGTCTACAATGAGCCGTTTCGCAGCGCGACGCAGCGCCTGGTGTCCTCCTTCAAGACCCTCCCGATGACTGAGCGGAACATCTTCACCCCGGAGCTCCTCTTCGATCTCCTTTTTGCGGAACCGAACGAGCAGCCCGTCGCGAAGAAGAAGCCCCTCGCGCTGTGCAAGCTCGGCCACCACGAGTCGCCCAAGGCGAAGAAAAAGGAGCTCAACTTCGTCGCGATCCGGTATGTGGTGGTGGAGAAACACATCACGACGGTGCGCGAGCGCGGCCCCTTCGCGAGTGTCGAGGTGGCCGCGCTGGAGTACGCGATCCGGCACGGCCACGTCGACGCCGCGGCGCTGCTTGTGAGCCTCGGCGCGTCCCTGGCGGACCTCGTGCGGAATGGGGCGATGACGCTGGAGACTTTCCTGGACCGGTGCTGGCCCGCGGAGAAGGCGACCCGGCTGCGACAGCTCTGGCGGCTGCAGTCCGAACTGACACGGCTGGACCCGGAGTACCAGTACAGCGTCCTGCGACCGGTGGTCTAGGGTCTGTGACAGGATTGGTGTCTGTGACTGGGTGCCTATTTGAGCCTGTGTCAGAGTGTTTGTCTGGTGTCTTCGGTGCCTGTGCGTGTGGGTGTGGGTGTGTGTGGGAGAGGGAAAGGGAAAGGGACTTGATGCGCACACGTCTTACCCCCTATGGCGTTTCTCGTGGCCCACCAGAAGTGAGTGGGGGAGGTTGTATAGTAGAAGGATTGCATGTATATAGGTGGGATAGATGTTGAGTCTGTACAGAAGGTTATACCTTATTGGGAATACTATGCATATTAGATCTACAGAATAATGCAAAATTGGATTTATTTATTTTTTGAAGAGCGACGAGCAACTCAAAGAAAAAAGAAACAAGGGCGGAGAGATGCTTGATATCTAAACTCGGGTAAAAAAAATAAAACAAACACTTGGAAATGAAAAATTGGCACTCTTTTTATTACACTTTTCCTTTTTTTTAGGAAACGGACAAAAGGTACCCAAATCAATCCTTATGTCTAACGTAGATGTACCACATGATGAGGGAGTTCTGAGTCCCTTGTTAAAGTATGATCCTCCCGTTACAGTGGTTACGCACTCCCATTTCACCTACAAAGAAGAAGATGAAAAGGCCCTCTTGGAGGCATTCCGCGAAAATGGGATCGCCATGGCTGAGAAAGACAAACACCTAACGCGGCGAAAGGATCTGCTCTCCATTCCCGCCGCTAGGCTGGCGGCCGCAAAGCACATCGCGCAGGAGTACACTCTCGCTACTCAGAAAACGTTGGCCGCGGTGGAAGAGTCCCCCCCTATCGCCGGCCGTCGCTATGTAGCATCCGATAGGGTTGGCATCCGATCCCAGAAAGGGCGGAGGCGGAATCATGAGGACAAAGGTGCTACGACGATCCTTAGTTGTCCTCAAGCGCTCACCGCATGTGATTCCGCTGATGCGACGATGCGAAGAACGTCCACTACCACGGCGGCGCCGCTAGACATTGATCCGTCTTATTTCGCCAACACCTCCTCTTTGTCGCTTGCGACGCAGGGCGTCACCACGATAGACAATGTGCTCCCGCTCCTCATGCGCAGCGACCCTCGCGACGGGGTGAGCATCCTGCGCGTGATCTTCCCGCCGCGTGTGGAAAACCCCGCGTTGTTGACAAACGGGGCTCCACGTCCGGCGAAAACAAAAGAGGATCCCACCGAGGATCAGTCAACCGCGGGCGCGGAGGCGGAGGGTGAGATCACACTACGGCACGTCTCCACGACCCCTGCCAGCCGGAGCGACGTCACGGAGCTCCACGAGGCCCTCTGCGCGCGGCTACAACAACGCCAGACAAGTCCTGTAGGGATCTGCCACATTCGCCGAGAGGTATACGACGACGTGTTCTGTGAGTTGATTCGGCAAATCATGCTGGAGGACGCCGCGCGAGGGGTTCTGCTCAAGCGCGTCAAAGACGAAGCGGACCACACGATCGAGGTGCACAAGAAGCTCGTAGAGCGCGCGCATTGCTTTTCCTCACGGAAAGAGATAGAATGCCGTCAAGCCACCGTTCAGCCTCTGCTAGATCGCGTGGAGGTCCTCAGAAAGGAAATTCGGGAACTTAAGATTAAAAAGCATGACCGATTAAAGATGTGTGATAGTGTCGGAAAGAAAATCGATGAGGGGCGTACGTCGTTAGAGAAAGCCCAGAAGCAGGAGCTGGCGTATTGGCGCAAGGTGAATCAGCAGTTGTCGATAAAGCTAAAATCGGAGACCGAGCGCATCTCCAACGGATCCCCGGCCACCGTGAACAAATCCCCTTCACCAGATAAAATACAGAATCAAATTCAAAATCTCTCAGGGAGGAATGCTGTGTAGCAGCAACCCACCATTGAAGATGCTACTTGAGGCCCATGCAAGCATACTGAATAGAAATAATTCAAAAAAAAAAGGTGATCTCAGTTTTGTAGGTATTCAGTGACTTAGGCGCCTAAAAGGACGCTGTTCACGCTCCTTTTGAATTAATCCCCCCTCCCCCCAAGGAGAACGGCAGCGTCGATTTCTATCCGTAAAGAAATGAGGAACTATGGTGGAGCGGTATTGGCCATCCTACATATTTTTCGTAGGAAGTACCAAAATAATGCCAATAGACTCCATTTTTCGACGGCGTTGTTTCCGTTTTACCGCTCTTCTCACTATCTTGGTCTCTTATTGTATATTCGGTACGATGTAAAATAAAGATATGTTTATCGCCAAGCGCTTCAAATAACTTCCAATAGTGTAACCTTACCTCTTTCAGTTGGGTGTTATCATCACCTGTCGTGTCCATGAGCAACTCCATCGGAGTCCATATCGTCACACACGTCGTCATGCCGAAATCAATGTATACATATATATATATATATATATGAATACATCCCCCCTCTCCTCACGCAAGCACCAGTTACACCCACAACCAGGCACCAACCCCCCCCCCCTCCCTCTCCACTACCACCACACACACACAC